ATATTTATTAACTATAAGCTAGAAAAAGATAATGACATAATGATAATAAATAAATTTATTCGTCACAATTTAAAGATTATATGTAATCGACATTAAAAATTTTGATATCGACATTGAAATAATTTTGGATGTCGATATCAAAAGTTACATCTAATCACAGACTTCTATAAATAATTGTCGACTCCATGTTTGAAAACAGAGCCATATTTATGTTTACTCATTCAATAATAACGTTAGTGTTTTCACATAAATTTATGCGATATTCACAGACAGAATAATGTGTAAATTAAAACAAGGACAGTTTAGAATCAGATTCATCTTCTTCTATCATATTGAATCAGTAGTCTAGTTATAAAAGTTTGTGCACTAACCGATACTTAATTAAGGGCTTCTTTCATCAACTTCTAGTTCAATTAATCAATAATCAACTCGCAGAAATGTCAACAACATAGTTTAATGTATCAGAACGTCTCTTCTCTTTTTCTCTTCTGAGACAAACTGTGTTTAGTTCTCACGTTGGCAATCATGATGATTGAGTTAACCATCGATTAATCGGAGTTGGTGAAAGAGGTTCTAAGAGAAATCATTTTATACGGATAATCAAAATTATTTTGTTGATATGTGATTAACAAAAAAATGTTCTTTTTTATTTAAAATTTTTATTAAAAATTGTTTTGTTCTAAAATTTGATTAGAACAACAAAATTTTTGTTTTTTTAACCAAATTTTTCGTTTTAAGAATAACCAAATTTAAAAAAACGAATAATTAGAGCATTGGGATTTTGAGATATTAAACAAATAAATCAAAAAATATATAAATAAATAAAAAAAAAACAGGCAATTAAGAGCCTTAATTACGCGGTAATTGGTGCAATTATCTTATAAACATATATTTCAATTATATATTTTACATAAATATAAAAACTGAACGTTTCGGCTTAATTCGAGTCCTCCTCAGCAGTCTTGCATAACAATTCTTGATAACCATCCGATATATTTGTACATCCAAGAAATCGGGTGTAACAAAGAAGTCTCACAGATTACCAAATCTTGATTATTCTCTAAATCAAATTTTCGTTAAAATACTAAATTTTAATTAGAACAATACAATTTCTTAATGAAAAAGTAAGAAAGTTTTTGTTAGTTACATATCCACAATATTTTAGTTGTACGTACAAAATGATTTTTCTCAATATAGATCCAACTTAATATCCAAGTTAATATTCGGATCACACTCAACTGACACTCAATTATTTGACGATAATACCGAAAATGATACTCAAAAGATTATGCCCAAGTATTTGAGAGTAACACTCGACATGACACCAAAATCAATGGTAAATCTTAAATTAACACTCAAAATCAATTAACACATCAACAGTTAACACCAAAAAAATATGTATTTTTTATAAGCGCCAAGTGGGAATTTGAACATACTTTTGATTAGATAAAACAGTATCGAGTCGAATTCTACTTTTTTGTCTATCTTAAAAATTTACTTTACTGAAGGAGAATTAAAACTGTTATTTACTCACTACTATACGCTCCGATTAACTTGATCGGTCGAAATTTCAGTATTGCCAATTGCAAAGAAATATTTTGACAGCTGTGAAGAACAATATATATCATTAAAATAATTATAATAATTAATTTTGCGTACTTTAGTATCATACACATGCGGCAATAACAATTATTATTAAATTTTCTTGGTTCTTTGCAATGCCGCAAAAAAATCAGCCGTTCAAGTTAACCGGAGTCAGTAAGATTGATCCTTGGATTAGCCCTATCTCAGATTATTATGTACGTCAAAAGCGAAAAAATTACATAATACAAATTCTTACAAAATATTTTAATATGAAAATATGTTTCAATAAAACAAGTTATGATTGACAGGTCTGCCTTAAAATATACAGAAACTCTTTTTTTATATGATTAATTAGGAATTACGCACAAAGCGCATTCATTTGTCACTCCTTGTTATTCACTGAAGAATAAGGAAAGATAAAATGACCTCATGCGCTTTATACGTAATTCGGAACGCATTCTTAATAAACGATATATATCTGAAAAGAATTGCAATCTAAACCGAAATGGACTATCTTCATAATTATGGTAATCT